GATGACTATTTTTAACCAAGGAAAATTTCAATGTTTTCCTATCTTAAATTTCCGATGAATATGAATATTCTTTCTTCGATTAATGCTTGAATAATCTCATAAAGCGTTTCACAACAATAAAATATCCTTAGCAATTCACCTATGGCCTCATTAAATATTTGAGTTTAACAACTTTAATAAAATATTGCAACAATAATCATAAATGTGAATCCTGGTTGTTTTGTTATAACAACTAAGAAGCTACAATTGAAACGATTTTGAAATTTGCAAACTTTTTAATTTCTCTGAAAGTGACGTTAAAAATCAAAATTCGTTTCTTTAATTCATTTTTTCATGAAACCAAGAAGCGACTTTAATATGTCTTTTTTTCTTCGTACGATATCAAAACGATATAGTCATTTATTTATTGCGTATTTGCAAGAGACGTCAAAAAATATTATCTCTCATTTTTCAATGAAACCAAGTAGCGCATATGATATATCTTTTGTCATTTCATGAGATCAAAACGTAATATTCCATCATTTATGAGTCATTGGCAGGGTGTAATGAATGTGTGAAATTTGGAACTAAAGAAGGGAGGGACAAGCACTATAGCAATAAAAACAACAACAACAACAACAATATTAATAACAATAGTAATACTGTTAATTATTTTATTCTCGAAATTGATCAGGGAAAAATGTGAAAATGGAAAGAAATGACAATATTCCATAAATCAAAGTAAATAATAATAATAATAATAATAATAATAATAAAAAAAAAAAAAAAAAAAAAACATGAATGAAATGTGGCCATAACAACACACACGACCTGCCTTAGGTCTTTCCGCAGACTTGGTAGGTAGTGTGTCCATAGCAGAAATATAATAATAATAATAATAATAATAATAATAATAGTTATTATTATTGTTATTTATTATTATTATTATTATTATTATTATTATTATTATTATTATTATTATTATATAATCTTAATTATTATGATTATATAATATTATATATAATCATAATAATAATATGGCTGGATTAGCATGCAAAAATAGGTAACCAGCCAATAAGAATTTTGCAAATGCGCATTCATACGCAGACAGACAGACAGACACAAACATGTTTTTGTGTGCGTGCGTGCGTGTGTGTGTACATATATAGTCAGAGATATATTTTGCTTTGATACAAAGCGAAATTCAGTTACGGAAAGTTCCGCTGAAATTGTGGAAAAATTCAAAAAAATCAGGATAACCTACAAAATTAAAAGGAAAAATAGAATAAATTAAAGTCAAATAAATTCACAAGACTAAAATTAGGCTAGCAATAATGAAATCCTAAAAACAGAATTCCTGAAAAATGACAATTATTGGCTCTATAATCTGACATCAAATCAGAAAACATTTGCATAAACATTATCAATCCTTATTAGTAATCTCAAAGAAGTCCCAGAATGGGGCACTGAAGATATTACATAATTCCTGCTAAAAATAGATGAAACAGATGATCCAATAAGTTGTAGACAAATGACTTGTCTGTCCACAACGTATAAATTAATCAGGTCTATCCTAACGAACTGTACTTAATCTTTTCTCGAAGAAACAGCATTTTTCACCTGGGATAAATAGGATGCTGGCGAGGTTCAAATGGTTGCAAATATCAACCCTTGATAAAGAAAATGATTCTGGAAACTTGAAGGAAATGAAGTAGAATTTTCTTCAAAAAGTATCAAAATACAATGAACTTGAAATCGAAATCTCAAAAATGTGGCACATGGGGACACCAACAATTTCATTTGTAATTGGAGACCTTGGATTGATCGGAAAAGATTACAATAGACTCACTGATGGGATTCCTGGTAGCCCATGCCTTAACGAAATACAAACACTTGTACCCACAAGTACAGACGAAAACTTCCGAAGAGCTTCATCTCAGAAAATGTGTGATCTTAGGTATATCATTTTCTTTCCTCAACAAATGCTCAGTGGAAAATGTCTTGATACTATTTCTGACATTAGTTCTCTGTTTGGGACCCGGAAAGAAATGAATATACAGTAGAAATCAAAGAAAATGAAATAATAATAATAATAATAATAATAATAATAATAATAATAATAATAATAATAATAATAAAAGTTTAGAAAAGAGTGCGATTTAAGAAAAGAAAAAGAAAAATATTTTTGAAAAATTTAATCAATATTTTAACAGAATATCCGTTTTCTTCAAGTTATATTTAAACTATTTTTTTTCAAGTATAAAAATATATAAATTTACAAATTTATATGGCCTTGTACAAACATTGTTTGTCTTTTAATGGGAAACAATACCCTCTTGGTAATGAATGCATCAAATCGAATGAAACCCCTCCTCCGTGAAAACATGCAACTCAAACATGCTTGAGGTGATAGTCACTTTGCTTATCTTAGAATTTTCCTTTAGTTGATTCTTTCTCAGAGGAATTAAGGAAACAGTTTAATATAAATCTTATGGAATTCTCCTGTGATTATGTTTATTCCCCCGGGCCGAGAAGATAGTAATTTGCTTACGTAATCATCCTCATGAAATTTAAGGGCCAAAATGTGGGGAGATTCTGAATATATCTTCTCAGAATAGGCGCATTAAGTTGCTTGTAGAAATTACAGTCGTTTGAAATAAAATGTTCTGCAAACTCCGTTGATGTCACATTGTTGTGTCTGATATAATATATTTGTCCACTGAGTTTTTATTTAATTTTATCTTTGTGCAACCCACATAAATCAAGTCATGTTTGGTACATTTGGCGGAGTATGTTAAATGGGAATCGGTACAATTTCGACCCTCTGCAAAAATTGGGATATTTCTCTTTGAATTTTTGATAAAAGTTACTTGACATATATTGTTACAAAACGAACATGCTTTTCCTCTTCTCTGAGTGTTTTCGGGTGTACAACGATACGAAATTCCAAAGTTGTTCTGAGTGTGGACGCTTAGCTTTGTTAAAATGTGTCTGATGTTTGTAAAAAGACTTATATTCTTTGTACATTTCTATATTTTATACCTGAATTAAAAAAAAATAATATAACTTGAAGACGAAAGACATTTTATTGAAATATATTTAACATTGTTAAAAGCTTTTTTTCTCTTTGCTTTTCTTAATTCGCGCTCATCTCTTCTTAACTGTTGAAGAATGCGTCAGGCTTATTTTTCAATAATATCGGTGATAATTTCTACCTGTAAGGTTGTTGAAAATTTCAGCAACATCATTAATGTTTTGTAGGATGCTCTCGCAGAAAAAATACAAACGCCGCTATCATGCATGCCTACAGAGTGAACTTAGTAACAAAAAGTCAAGATTGAATGAATATTCTCTCTCTGACATGGAACGATTCCGTGACACCATTTCCAGAGAAACCACCTCTCCAAGCATGCATTTAATAATTTCGTCACGGAATGCGCGTTTAATGAAACGTCATTTAAATTATCTATTGAGTAATGTGGATTTTCTTATTTATATCTGCTAGCTTCAGTTTTTTAAACGAAATATAAACAGCAGTAATATTCCAATGGATTTTATGATCCAAGTAGATAGTAACTCAAATAAATGTGCCCAATAATAACAAAGCATTACATTAATAAGAAACAATCCAATCAATCAATCAATTAATCAATCAATATATATATATATATATATATATATGAAAATTTCTCCGATTTAATCGGTAGAGAAGACAGTATTTATGAATAAAAATGACAATAGGAAAACTGGTAATTGCTGACGCGTTTCGTCCAATGTGGACTTTATCAAAGCAAATTACGAAAATGAAATTAAATGAACAAAGTAACTAATAAAAACAAAAACAGTTATTTTTCAGTTAAAAAATATGAAAATAGCGTTTCTCTACATTCCAGTTGCTAGGTACATTCTGTTTTTGTTTTTATTAGTTACTTTGTTCATTAAAATTGTACTGCTGGTATTAAAACATATTTTTATAATTTCATAGATTTTTTTTACTCCTTTGTTGGGGGTAACTATTTGTCCATATCTGGGACCCTGACAGGTGTTACCACACATGGTCAGGGAGGGCCTAGGAACGCTAGCAAATGAGAGGTGGTTTCACGCTCCTCAAACTTCCTGATCAAAGGCCTTGCTGTTGGATGTAGTTTATCGTGTTACCCTGGACGCGGATGTAGTTTATCGTCATACCCATCACGTTTTCACTTTTGTAAGAATATTGACATCTGAATAGAATTTTTTTTTCTTATGCATTACACGTATATATACAGCACTGTATAACATTAATGAACATAACGATGTCATTTATTCTGTTTCTGAGATTATTTTTATAGCCATGTTTATGAATAGACATGATGTTTTATCATAGATGTCGCGAAATATGGCACATAATCCGAAGGCAGATTAGAATGGCGAATGATGTCTTCTAAAAGAGGAAAAAGAAAGTATGAAGAAACAGGGAGATTCCTGTAGACAGAAATATAGAATAATACAGAATGGTCATGTAATATCAATTTTACGATATGGTAGCGAATGCTGGGCAAATTACATACAGATAGAGGGGAGACATGTTGCAAGAGACATGCGATTCTACAGCTGAGAATGCAATAATCTGGGCACGTGAGTAAGCAAATAGCCTTCAGGAAAATAGAAATATAAAGGACACATAAAATAAAAAAAGAGACAGGCGAAATTTCTAAGTCACATAATGATGAAATAAGCCTTGAAAAACTTGATAATCCCAGGGCATAGTGACAGTTTAGGGAAACAGATTAACCTATATAACGTGTTTCTGAAAGTTGAAGAATAAGAACAAGGCGATGTATGAAAGAAACAGATATTGCTAAGAGCTATGCAGGATCGACACCGCCTTGAATGGGGGAATGTGTAAATCGACAACGTCTTGAAAGGGAGGATGGGAAGATCGACATCACTTTGAATGGAAGAATGAGGAGATCTATAACTTCATGAAAGTATGTGTGTGGAAATCCACAACATCTTAAAAAGGAGATTATGAAAAATCGTCAAAGTTTTGAAAGATAGAGTGTGGAGATCGACAACGTCTTGAAAGGGGGAGTGTGGAGATCGACAACGTCTTGAAAGGGGGAGTGTGGAGATCGACAACGTCTTGAAAGGGGGAGTGTAGAGATCGACAACGTCTTGAAAGGGGGAGCGTAGAGATCGACAACGTCTTGAAAGGGGGAGTGTGGAGATCGACAACGTCTTGGAAGGGGGAGCGTGGAGATCGACAACGTCTTGAAAGGGGGTGTAGAGATCGACAACGTCTTGAAAGGGGGAGTGTAGAGATCGACAACGTCTTGAAAGGGGAGCGTGAGATCGACAACGTCCTGAAAGGGGAGTGTAGAGATCGACAACGTCCTGAAAGGGGGAGTGTAGAGATCGACAACGTCCTGAAAGGGGGGAGTGTAAAGATCGACAACGTCTTGAAAGGGGAGTGTAGAGATCGACAACGTCTTGAAAGGGGAGCGGGAGATCGACAACGTCCTGAAAGGGGAGTGTAGAGATCGACAACGTCCTGAAAGGGGGAGTGTAGAGATCGACAACGTCTTGAAAGGGGAGTGTAGAGATCGACAACGTCTTGAAAAAGATGGAGCGTGGAGATCGACAACGTCCTGAAAGGGGGGTGTGAGATCGACAACGTCCTGAAAGGGGAGTGTAGAGATCGACAACGTCTTGAAAGGGGGAGTGGAGATCGACAACGTCTTGGAAGGGGAGCGTGGAGATTGACAACGTCTTGAAAGGGGGAGTGTAGAGATCGACAACGTCTTGGAAGGGGAGGTAGAGATCGACAACGTCTTGAAAAGGGGAAGTGTGGAGATCGACAACGTCTTGAAAGGGGGGCGTGGAGATCGACAACGTCTTGAAAGGGGAGTGTAGAGATCGACAACGTCTTGAAAGGGGAGTGTAGAGATCGACAACGTCTTGAAAGGGGAGCGTGGAGATCGACAACGTCCTGAAAGGGGGAGATCGACAACGTCCTGAAAGGGGGAGAGATCGACAACGTCCTGAAAGGGGGAGAGTAGAGATCGACAACGTCCTGAAAGGGGAGGGGGACAACGTCCTGAAAGGGGGGAGTGGAGAGATCGACAACGTCTTGAAAGGGGGAGACAACGTAGAGATCGACAACGTCGTCCTGAAAGGGGAGTGTAGAGATCGACAACGTCCTGAAAGGGGGGAGTGTAGAGATCGACAACGTCCTGAAAGGGGGAGTGTAGAGATCGACAACGTCCTGAAAGGGGGAGTGTAGAGATCGACAACGTCCTGAAAGGGGGAGTGTAGAGATCGACAACGTCCTGAAAGGGGGAGTGTAGAGATCGACAACGTCTTGAAAGGGGGAGTGTGGAGATCGACAACGTCTTGGAAGGGGGAGCGTGGAGATTGACAACGTCTTGAAAGGGGGAGTGTAGAGATCGACAACGTCTTGAAAGGGGGAGTGTAGAGATCGACAACGTCTTGAAAGGGGGAGCGTGGAGATCGACAACGTCCTGAAAGGGGGAGTGTAGAGATCGACAACGTCCTGAAAGGGGGAGTGTAGAGATCGACAACGTCCTGAAAGGGGGAGTGTAGAGATCGACAACGTCTTGAAAGGGGGAGTGTAGAGATCGACAACGTCTTGGAAGGGGGAGTGTAGAGATCGACAACGTCTTGAAAAGGGGAAGTGTGGAGATCGACAACGTCTTGAAAGGGGAGAGTGGAGATCGACAACGTCTTGAAAGGGGGAGTGTAGAGATCGACAACGTCTTGAAAGGGGAGTGTAGAGATCGACAACGTCTTGAAAGGGGGCGTGGAGATCGACAACGTCCTGAAAGGGGAGTGTAGAGATCGACAACGTCCTGAAAGGGGGAGTGTAGAGATCGACAACGTCTTGAAAGGGGAGTGTAGAGATCGACAACGTCCTGAAAGGGGGGAGGGTAGAGATCGACAACGTCCTGAAAGGGGGGAGTGCAGAGATCGACAACGTCCTGAAAGGGGAGTGTAGAGATCGACAACGTCCTGAAAGGGGGAGTGTAGAGATCGACAACGTCCTGAAAGGGGAGACAACGTAGAGATCGACAACGTCCTGAAAGGGGGGTAGTGTAAAGAGATCGACAACGTCTTGAAAGGGGAGTGTAGAGATCGACAACGTCCTGAAAGGGGGGAGTGTAGAGATCGACAACGTCCTGAAAGGGGAGTGTAGAGATCGACAACGTCCTGAAAGGGGGAGTGTAGAGATCGACAACGTCCTGAAAGGGGAGTGTAGAGATCGACAACGTCCTGAAAGGGGAGACAACGTCCTGAAAGGGGGAGATCGACAACGTCCTGAGATCGACAATGTCCTGAAAGGGGGAGTGTACAACGTCTTGAGATCGACAACGTCTTGAAAGGGGGAGTGTGAGATCGACAACGTCTTGGAAGGGGAGCGTGGAGATTGACAACGTCTTGAAAGGGGGGGGAGTGTGGATATCCACAGCGTTTTGAAAGAGAGAGTGCGTATAAAATTGTAGTATAATTTTGATTTGCAAATGGTCATGTCATTGATTTTTTGTCATCATTGAAGTTATGCAACAATTAGTCTGGCCAGTGATTACATTTAAAGTTGGATGTGAGATGTGTGGCTGGTGTATGGAAGGCGGCACGTAATTAGAAATCGGAGAGCAGATTTCAAATTCCAGTCGGATTCTTTTCCTTGGATTACGCGTAAATACCATTGGTCAATCATCAAACGAAAAGAGAGATTGCCCAAGCGTATCATATCCGTCTATTGTCCGCACTCATTGAGTAGAACGGTAGTGTAATGATCCTTTCCTGTGGATACACTGAGGAAGACCAACCAAGGACCTTCACACGCAGTCAATCACACACAAACAACACACACACACACACACACACACACACACACACACACACACACACATATATATATATATATATATATATATATATATATATATATATATATATGATTATAATTATTGAGATCTGTATTATAAATAGTATTATAGTTTATCTAATCTATAAATCGATACAACCATGTTAATTTACTTCTCGTTCGACTGGAAAATATGCCTCTTGCAGATGGCTTCTTCGTTCATATTTTAATCTCATGTTGAAAACTTTTATCTGCCCCAAGGGATTGTAAATATTTCAGTTTACAACAGCTGATGAAAATAATCTGCTACCTGTGATATTATACGATCTTTCTTTCGACGAACGTTACATTGTTATTTCTCAAGCAGGCTCACCTGATTAAATTATTTCACATCAGCTGTTTTGCTTTAAAATTCACTTTATGACTGAAATGGAAGCATTTTGTCTTTGAGAAAAAAAACCTTGACCTCAGCAATAATAGATGGCAAATCAAAGAGACAATTCTCCTGAAATTAGTTCAATATTACTTTCTCTTTTATTTTACTTTCTTTTTACTCTTCAAACGCATCAGGCAACTTTGTCCCAGATACGTCACTGTATTTTTTTTTTAATTCTAGCTTTATCCTTTTCTTTTCTTTTTGTAGCGCTTCATTGGATCATTACGTTATTACTAAATTTCACCTGCTGCTGAGATCGAGTCAGAAAGACCACGTGATAGATCACATGATATAAAACCAAAACAAAGGATTAGAAAAGATAAAACAAAAATAATGTCTCTAAGTGAAACGAAACGTGATAATACGTTTCAGTGGAAAGGTAAAAAAAAAAAAAAAAAAAGAAGTCGGGAACCCCGGGAAGAATGAAGTAGACAGAAGATTTCTAACGTTGAATGATGTGCAAGTATGAAAGAATAAAAAAACCCTGCCAATATCAATGTGGAATAATAGTAAATCAATTTTGAGAGAGAGAAAGAAAATAAAGAATAATTCTCCATTGAACAATCGATAATAAATATATAATGAATCACAAGGTTAAAGAAAGAAAAATATCAGTGATTGGCGACGAAATATTCCCGATAGAAATTCAAAAAGAAACAATAATTTAATGGGAATAAGATTTTTTTTTCTACCCTTTTTTCTTTTACGAATGCAAACCAATTGGAGAATTGACAGAAAATTAAAGAAGGAAAAGTTTCTTTCGTTTCAGAAACAACAATAAATAGATAATCAGGATAAAAATTTTATGAAACATGAAGGTCGATTGATTTTAAGTATCTTTAAGGCTGGCTGACAAATACGTACCAGATATTTAATACTAGAAACATAAGTCGAAAAATAAAATTATCGGAATGATGAGCTAATATATAATCGTTGAAAAAGATGAACTAATTTACACAATCACTAGATATTAAATTGTTTTCACTAGCCAACGGATTATAAAAAATGTAGATGAAAGTCTTACACCAAATAGAATTAGTAGAAATAGATTGGATTGTATAATGTGGCAGACAACTTCATAAGATTATACACCGTTATTTTGTTAAGAACGTAACACCCTCCATCAGTATGTTTTTAGCAGTAGTAGACATTGCGGATAGAAAATTAAGTTGTTGCTTTTGTCATAGCTGCTTGTATTAGAAGGTACACCGCTTTTAGCAACATGTAGCAGGAAAAAGTTCATGCAAAGCCAATGAAAAAACTGAGGCACTAAAACCGTAATAATATGAAAAATTCTAATTAGAAACTATTCCATCTTATTAATATTAGTGCAATTTGCCCATGGTTCGGTAGAAATATCTCCCACATATATATTCTAGAAATGCATCAAACATTAATGGCAATGGTATGTTCATCTAGCTAATAGCTTACAATTAACGTCAGGTATTTCTCGAAGGTGTATATGAGAGGTATTTCTGCCATGCACTGTACATTTTGTTACACTAAAATCAGTGTTAAAATATTTACTGAAACAAAAATGATGGTTGCAATTTTGAAGCTGAAGCTGACTCACTAAGCGACTGGGAATTTCCAGAAATATTGTACAAACTCCACAAATGTATATTATAATATCATAAAATATGATATCAATATATCATATATAATATAATATCAATATATAATATAATAATAATTATATATATATATATATATATATATATATATATATATATATATATATATATATATATATATATATATATATATATAAGTGTGCAGGTATGCAGAAAATACAAAAGAACACGTTGGGTGCATAATCCGGGGTTCCTTAGTATTTTTGCTCTTATTTTAAGAAGACAATACTCCATACAGAAATAGAGCTTTATTATAATATTTTTTAGGCACGGTCCGTTACGGACCATACCTAAAAACACACATAAACCGAGAGATAACTTATTCCTAAAATTTCGCTTGTGGATGAAACAGGACTAAACACCTCAATTCAAATTAATTTTAATAATTATTTGGATGGTTTCGTCTCTCATTTTTGAAACATGAGAACACTTTTTAGCGAAGGAATCATATTTTTAAACAAAAATATCTTATATATATATATATATATATATATATATATATATATATATATATATATATTATATATATTATCAATAATATCATATAATAAAATGATAATAGTGGATGCATTCCAAGTGTAAAGAAAACCGAAATACTAAAAGAAATTTTACATAAGAGATGAAGAAGCATTGTGAGAGTAACGGTTGGTAATCAAAAAAAAAAGACGAGGATATATTTTGTAGATGAAGGTGTTGTACATTTGAATGACTAGACATTACAAAGTTCTGGTCGCAATATAATTAAATCATAGAAGTTGGAACTGAAGTAACAAGTGCTCGAATGAAAATTAAGCAATCATAAACTTGGGATTGTTGCCAAAAAGATTGGAACAAAATGCCAATGAGAAAATATGGACCATGTTTCTTTCAGTCATTTGAGATAAATGAATCAACTGTAATTACTAACTACATAATTCGTTTTATTGTTATTTTCTGCAATAATAAAATCCACCGAAAATACATAACTTTTTAACTGAAGAAATGAGCTGAAAGATTAAATGTTCGTTTGCGATCCATTGTTTTTCCATCATCTTTTTTCTGGATCACTATACATAATATGCACTATTATATACCATACACAGTTAATGAAAATACAACAAGTTTCTTGCCCTCAAAGATCATAAAATATCCTCTCAAATATATACTTCTAATAACTCTAGATTTGGGGGTAAACTTAACAAAAGTAAACAAATTATTAAAATTTATAAACGTTGGGGGTTTCTTATGTCAGGCTTTATCATTATAAAGATACACTAAAAATGGAATTGTGCATCCACTTCTGAGTTGGATCTTCCTAGTCCTCAATTTGTAGCCTTGAGAGAGTGCAAAATCCTTTATGGATCTTGTAGAAAATGACATCTTTTCAACACTAATCACTTTACCACAGACGTAATGGTGAAAGCCTGTCAATACAATGCCACTACTTCGAATGAAAATGTTCAGACGCGCCCCATTATTTGCGCTACCTTTTCAGAATATGACGAGCCATAATTCGAACGAAGTAAACTCGCTAAGAACAAATTTCTACTCGGACAAATTTTTTTGTCTTGAGAACTGCTAATCTGGAAACAAACGCTCATATGGAATCTTCCCTTAACACCACAAACTTAACCGCTTCAAGACAAGTGTCAGTTTCTATTTAACTTATCCTTATCAACTTGCCTTGCTTCTAATTTTAATTTTCTTAACACGCAACTCACTCTGTAATCCGCTACCATAAGTGTCTTTTGAATCTTGTTTTGGGCAAAGGAAAAACAATGAACGTTGTAGACTTTAGTATCTGTCTATATTTCTAAGATGAGGTATTATGTACCTTATTTACATTATTCGGACTATTGTCTTCATCTTTGTCACCATATTAATTACAACGTTTCAATCTAGTGACAGTACCCAAAGTGTATATACTGATAAAATAGAATAAATAGAATTAGTCATTTCTATACAGGTATATATTGGTGTGGCAACATGCATCATTAGAAAACTGAATAGAGATATTCATAAATATATGATTTATTTTTATTCGGTTTGTTAACCAGTTGATAGTTATTTAGAGATGAAGAATAATTGAGTTTTGAGAATAATTCTCTAATTGCATTTAGGCGATCCGAAGGAAAGAAGAAGGAAGAGAAAGAAAGAAAAAAAAAGACAGAGAAATAAATGGTACAAAACCCGGTCATAAGCTCACAAGCTTAAACTACACAAAACAAGTGTTAAAAGATATCTAGGCCAAAGTACCTGACCGAAATCCACGAAAAATAGAAATTGTTATAATTGATTGAAGGAATAGAGTTTAGAAATAATAAAAAGAAAGAAAGGGAAAAGACAGGAAGATGATAACGAGACGGGGCCGCGAGCGGATAGGCACACGCGCGATTGATGCATAACAAATGTCGGTCAAGCACCTGACCTACTTTCGTGTCCGCGGAGTATGGGAGTTTATTATCAATTTGGTTGAAGAAATAAGATTTTAGGGACAATGAAAAAATATTAGTAGGTAACGAACGAAGAGGGGTGTCATTGACCGCTGGGGAAATGTATACGAAAACAAAACATTGATACACGAACCCTGACCATTTCTAGGGTTGAAGATA